GGTTATTGCAGGAAGGAAGCAACATTGTGAAAAACATATCAATGGAACCCAATGCTTGTGTTTTTGGTGTCCTTAATTCTTGTAAGATGCACAAGAATACAGATATTGCAGAAGAAACCGCCATCAACGTTATCACTATGAACTCTGAAATGACCGGGAACTACATTATGTTGTCGATTATATATGCTGACAGCGGGAGATGGGAGGAGTCATCAAAGTTGAGGATCTCAGCGAAGACAAAGGGGTTGAAAAAAATCCGGGGCGAGTTGGATCAAGGTGAAACGATAAATTCTTTATGTTCTCTATTAAGTTTAATGTTTTGTTGTGTTAAATATGAACTGTTGTAATGGCAGTTGTTTTATATACATCTTACACACACGCATGCAATAAACAAATGTTGTAAAGGTGGCGTCCTAGCTGTTGTAAAGGTGGCGTCCTAGCTGCCCATGTTGCAACACATCAGAGCACATGATCAGCCTGAAACCATGTGGTAGTCTCCTGACAAGGAATATTGTACCCACGTGCAGTATTCCTTCTGTCCAGGTTAGTGGGGCAAGTTCTCTCAACACTCCCCCTCAAGTTTGGAATAAATGTTGATTATTCCTAACTTGCAAAGCAAAGTCGTAAACTGGTATAAGCTCAGTGGCTTTGTGAAGATGTCGGCTGGTTGTTTCATGGTTGAGATGTGAGATGTCTCGATCATTCCACTTTGAACCCTTTCTCGTACAAGATGGCAGTCAATTTCTATGTGTTTGGTTCTTTCGTGAAAGACCGGATTCGAAGCGATGTGAAGTGCCGCTTGATTATCACAATATAACTTGACTGGACGTTTATGTTTGATACCCAAGTCTTGTAGAACAGATTTCAACCAAGTGACTTCACAACAAGTTGCTGCCATTGAACGATACTCCGCCTCTGCACTAGAACGTGACACAGTATTTTGTTTCTTGCTTTTCCAGGAGATCAAGGATTCTCCAAGAAATACATAGTATCCGGTGGTAGAACGTCGTGTGTCTCGACATCTGGCCCAATCCGCATCACAAAAAGCATTCAATTGAATTGGACTTCTTGCAGAAAGAAAAATACCTTGCCCTGGTGTGTGCTTAACGTATCGTAAGACTCGCTGGGCTGCCTCCAAGTGTGGAGTTCGAGGCTTCTCCATAAATTGACTAAGAATATGGACAGCATACACCAAGTCAGGGCGCGTGATTGTCAGGTAGATTAGTCTCCCAACAAGTCGTCGATAAGAGGAAGGATCAGTAACCCATTGTCCTTCGTCCTTTCTGAGTGATAAGTTTTGCTCCATAGGAGAGGTGGCTGGTTTTGCGCCAAGATGACCTGCATCCTCAAGTATTTCAAGGGCATATTTTCGTTGTGAGAAGGTGATCCCCTTGCTAGAGCGAGCAATTTCAATGCCCAAGAAATATCTTAATTGGCCAAGGTCTTTCAACTTGAATTGCTTCATAAGAAAAGACTTGGTATCTTCAATTGCTTGTATGTTATTTCCTGCCAAGATAATATCATCAACATAGACAAGGAGGGCAGTGAATTTACCATCATGGTTTCGGACGAACAATGAATAATCTGCCTTGGATTGTTGATAACCGGCCTTTCTAAGAGCACAAGAGAGTTTGATAAACCATTGACGAGAGGCTTGCTTAAGCCCATACAAAGATTTATGAAGTTTACAAACTCGTGTCTCCCCCTTTCGTCCGAAACCAGGAGGCAATGACATGTAGACATCTTCTTCAAGATCACCATGGAGGAAAGCATTATTAACATCAAGCTGGTGGAGGTGCCATTGTTGGACCGAGGCAACAGCAAGGAGTAGACGAACTGTAGTCAATTTTGCAACCAGAGCAAAGGTATCTCAATAGTCTAAGCCTTCAATTTGGCTATAACCTTTGGCAACCAAGCGTGCTTTATATCTCTCAATGGATCCATCGGATCGAAATTTGATTTTGTAAACCCATTTACATCCAACCGGCTTCTTGCAGAGACCATGTCCTATTCGCAGCAAGGGCTGCCAGTTCTTCTTCCATAGCGAAACGCTAGTGAGAGTCGCATATAGCCTGTGAGAATGAGCTGGGTTCTATGGCAGCTGAAATGGAAGTGGTGAAAGCACGATGTCGAGCAGATAAACGATCGTATGTGAGGACATCAGACAAAGGGTAAGGAGTACCTGGTACTTTGGTCAACGCCGAGTGAGATGAAGGGACGGACCGAGAAGGGAGGTTGATGTCGATGTGATATTGTTGAAGATAACCAGGTGCATGAGTGGGTCGTTTAAGATGAGGTGGTGAGGTGGAAAGAAAAGGAGATGAAACCGAAACAGGACTCACCGGCGAAGAAGAGGATGGATCGACGGAATCCTGCTCCAGTAGAATGGACGGATGAATGATGGGATCATCATAGGCAGTATCTTGAGTATGTGGAAACACAAGTGGTGAAACTGCAGCAGAAGATGAAAAAGGGAACACATGTTCATGGAAAATAACATCACGGGAGATAAAGATTTTACCCGTGTGAAGGTCGTAAACTCGATATCCCTTTGTGCCATATGGATACCCAAGAAAAAGACACCGTGTGGCTCTTGCACCAAATTTTGTGGGACGATGGTGGTGGGTGGAAGAAAAACATAAGCAACCAAACACTCGCAAATGTGCATACGCTGGCTGTTTGTGGTGAAGTATTTCATAGGGTGATTAGCCTTGGAATTGGAACCCCTGCGATCCTGATAATCTCCCCTATTGCTGTTGTCTTTCCCTTTTTTCAGTTTGCGGCATTGATCAATGGTGTGACCTCTCCAATTACAGTAGTCGCACTTGAGGTGTGCACGACAGGTATCTGAAGTATGTCCAGTTGCATCACAACGACCACATTTTAGATGGGAATTTCTTGGAGAAAAATTCCTACCAGAGTTTCGCATGTTATCCCGCACGGCGAAAGCTGCAGTATCGGTGACTGAGGACTTTCCAGGAGCATGCATTGAAACTGTTCTTTGCTTCTCATCTTGAATAATAAGTGAGAAAGCTTTGTTGACAACAGGGAGGGGATCCATAAGTAAAAGTTGCCCACGAACCGCAGCGTAGGATTCATTGAGGCCCATGAGAAACTTCATGGTTTTCTGACTTTGCTGAAATTGCATTAATTCTTTTGCAGCTCCACATGTACAGGTTGGAAGAGTGCACATGGCATCACGTTCATCCCAAAAGCTTTTCAGTTTGGTATAATATACACCAATGTTCAAATTTCCTTGAACACTTCCATGTATCTCTTGTTCAATATGGAAGAGATGTACACTGTTTGTGTGAGAGAAACGTTCCTTCAACTCATTCCAAATATCAGCTGCAACATTGTTGTAGATGACACTTGCTCCGATATCTTTCGAGACAGAGTTGAGCAGCCAGGATTTCACGAGGTTGTTGCAACGAGTCCACTGTTGGAATTCACTTGTGGATGCAGACTCGGGCCTTTTAATGGATCCATTGATGAATCCTTCCTTGTTCTTGGCATTGAGGGCCATGGCCATGGCTCGGCTCCAAGTGGAGTAATTTTCGTCATTCAAAGGGTGTGTGACGAGGATCGCTCCAGGCTGATCAGAGTGATGAAGATAAAGAGGATCGTTGGGATCTTCGTATTTGGTGTGTTTGCTGGAAGAGTCAGTTGCCATGTCGGCAGGCAGTGTGCAATGGCTGTGCTCTGCGGCTGTGCTTAATGGCTGTGACAGGTAGAGCAACGACGATGGCTGTGTAGCAGCTTTGCGACGGCAAGGCAGCGAGTGTGCAGCTTGCAGTGCACTGGTTGCTGCAGTAACAGATGTCGCTGTTCACAATATAGCAGCGGAAGAGTGAAGGCAGAGCAGAGCAAAGGATTGCCTAAGCTCTGATACCATATTAAGTTTAATGTTTTGTTGTGTTAAATATGAACTGCTGTAATGGCAGTTGTTTTATATACATCTTACACACACGCATGCAATAAACAAATGTTGTAAAGGTGGCGTCCTAGCTGTTGTAAAGGTGGCGTCCTAGCTGCCCATGTTGCAACACATCAGAGCACATGATCAGCCTGAAACCATGTGGTAGTCTCCTGACAAGGAATATTGTACCCACGTGCAGTATTCCTTCTGTCCAGGTTAGTGGGGCAAGTTCTCTCAACATTCTCGGCAGGGGACACTATGCAAGTAGGCTTTGAGTTGATTTGAGGTATCCTTCAAGACTTGGCGCTTCAGATGGAGAGCGAGGGTTATTTGCTCAATAAGAGAATGATTCAACATAACTGGCTACAAATGTAAACGTTTCCAAATGATAAATTGGATTGCGTTATTCTTGGAGACTTCAGTTATACTGTCAATATCAATGTCACCATACTGTATGCATTGTTGCAATTTGCCACCCCCAACAAAGAAAACTAGTCCATTAATTTGTTATGTTGTTGCGGTATGCCACTTAAAAGCCTAACTCCATCTATTCTTTCGTCCAAAAAGTTGTGAGTGATTTGCACTTGACCTTTTTATTGATGGCTAGAATATCGGTACCAACTTAGTTTGAACATTCATGCGTAAATCACCTGCAACTTTATGAATGGAAAAATTGATGAAGTTAGCCGTAGGTGGCACAATGCAACAAAAATTTAACTGAGATCTGTAATGTTTAAGTGGTGTTGGTTTAATTTTCCCATTGTTTGGAGGGCCAAAATCTGTTTTTAGATGTCCTAAATTTTGGGTTTAGACCTGAGCATTGGACATGGTCTTATTCTACAAAATTAAAAACTTCTTTATGGGGGAAATTGTGCATTCTCACATCCGTTTACCAAACCTAATAACACCAATAGGAAAACACTAATTAATTAAAAGAATTGAGCTAAAAAAAGATGACTGGTTCTAAGTGAGCTCAACAACTGGTAAAATATGTGAGGATGAATGAGAAATTCTGATCGTGTGCATGTTAAAAGACTTTTAGATATTCGTTTTTATCAAATTTTAGAATTTGAACCACTCAAAGGGGCTTCGAATGCTTCCCAGGGAGTCTCAGAGGGGGTTCAACCAATCATCGAGGGATTTTGAGGGGTTAGTTGTCTAAATTTCTCTTTGTAACGCAAGAATAATGTTAGACAACTAACTCTAATAAATTTGGATATTGAACAAAAAAAATAAAAATAGGAACAAAGGTCATTTTATTGACTCAGTTCTTAAATCACAAAGAAGAATAGCTAACTTACAATTAAAAAACACCTAGGGATTTCTAGCTCAAGGGGTAAAACAACCTTACCCTCGAACCTAACCCAACTATCTACCTCAATTTAAAAATAAAAACTAAATAAATAAATGAATGAAGTTAAAAAAAAAACATTAGGATGACATGAGTAATTCTGTGTTTGTCACTAATAACCTTTGTTGATGATCGCCATTAATATCGATCACCTCCCCATTATTTCTCTCATGATCGTCACCACAAGCAATCTGATCAACGAACGGCTTCAAATCCTCACATACGTTGGTAATCCCATTCATCCCACCACCACATTGCTTGATATCCAAGCAAGACACAGAATCCTGCATGGCCCACATGCTCAAGTCTTCATACAAATGTTGATGTGGATATGGATGTGGGTCCCCATTAGTACTGTCACTATTGTTGTTGCTATTAGTATTGTTTTGAACAAACACATAAGGCACTCGTTGTTGTTGTTGTTGTTGCGATTGTTCTTGTTGCAGTGCAACTGCATGGTGAGGAGGCTGAGGTTGTTGAATGTAATAAAAATGCCCCATTGGGTTGCCGTACAAGCTCCAAGGGTCCACTTTAATCGACGGATCGCACGCGTTTTGATCTCCGATTTCCGGCATTTGAATCGGTTTGTGTTGTTGGTAAACTTCTTGTGCTTGTGCTCTGCATATGGCTAGCTGGTGAAGAACAATGTCAAGCTCGGCCTTGTTGTACTCGATCAAGCGCTGCAGCTCGCAAATGATTCTGTAGCAACCGCCAACAGGGTCGTTGGCGCGAACGTCAGACTGGAAGATGATGGTGCGCATGGCATCGTCCTTGTCCGGCTGGTCAAGGTGTTTGATGATTTTCTTGATGTTGCTGACACCGAAGAGCTTGTGAGCGTTGAGGAACTGGCGCTGGCGGTCGTGGGGGAAGTAGGGGGCTAGAATGCAGTCAGAGGCGCACTTTCTGCGCTGGTATTTGCACGCAGCGCAAGCCTGCGTGTTGGCGTTGGCGTTGCCTTTGGTTGGTGGTGTTTTGGTTGTTGTCGTGGAAATGTGATGAGTGTGTTTATGGCTATGGCTACTACTACTCATGATAAATTTCTTTTCTTTTTTGGGGGTTGATGCGTTGTTGGTGCTGTTGGAATCGGATGCGTTTCCGGCGGGGGTGGTAGAGGCGGTTTTTTTTCTTGATGAGGCTTTTTTTTCTGGGGGGTTTCCCTTATTTTCTCAATGGAAGTGAAGATGGAAGGGGGAATGAGGGATGGGGAGAGATGAGAGGAAAGGTGGACACACAAGAGAGACAGAGAGGCAGAGATCTTAACGGTTTCTGTTGGGAAGTTTTTGATATTTTTGGCTAATGAAATGTGATTAATTTAGGTTGGTGTCTTAATCTGATCATTAGCCAAAAAATAGAAAGAGGTTGTTGGTCTATTTTTTGGGTAAAACCAGATAAGCATTGCACAAATCAGAACTATCACACAATATGTGCATGCAAGTAATCTTAATTTCAATAAAATTTATGATTAACAAGTTAATAAGCGTCAAGGTATTGAAAATATTACTATACGTTTCACACACGGTCTAACCCCTTGTGAGGGTGCTGGTGTTTAAGCGCGGCCGCACATAAGAATTTCTCCATGCGCAATGTATGTTAAGTTCAGAGCTTAGAGGAGTGTGCATAGGAGTCAGTCCAGGTCTCCGGTCTGATGAACAAAGTAGCAAACTCGAGTGAAATTATAATCGGCTTGAGTTTGACAGTACATAATGCGAAAAAGATGAGAGATTAGGGCAAGTTTTGCGTATGTTTTGTAATGCATTTCAAATCAACGTTGGCACCGTGAGGGAGCATTTTGACATGAGGTTTTAGACTAAATGTTTGGGATTTATGTTCGTGATTCGAGTATTATCGGACTTAAACGTGCACAAAAACAACGGCAGGAGATTTGATGGCTTACGAAGGAACCAAAAAGTGTCGGTAAATCTCCATCTCATTCCATGAAATTGTCTATAGACACAAAGAGCAGGGGAAATGACAACACGCAGTAGCTAAAATCAGATACAGAAATCAGCCTCAATGTACAACAATAACTTTAAAAATCTGCTCAATAACTAATGAACATACGGTACACCAGAAAACAAAAACTATCCAAAGCTCGCCGCCCGTGCTTCCTTTAGAATTTCGGCAGTTGTGACCTGAATTCATGTTTCAAAATGGTGGTAAGTAGCTTGTTGCATAACGCTTTGGAGATCGTAAACAATAAACACACAATTCCTTATTCTGATTTCTGAGACGGGTGAAGTCAGAAACAGCAAAGAACATATATATAGTTACTTGATCGAAATTCTGAAACAGCAAGGCGCTAAATGCCAAGGGAAAAAAAAATTACGAGTTCTACTTTTAAAAGGAAGAAAGATGGCTTTGCAATTCACAAACAGCTACGGCTCAGACTTGAGGAGGTCTTCAACAGATTTTCTGTACTTGGTCATCAAGTCCCTGGAATTCAAGTCGATAACGAGAACAAAAGCAACATGTCATATAATTGAATCCAGAAACCAATATATTTACGTAGTCTTAGTACATCCAACAGAGCACTTGAGTGTACACACCTCCTCTGATGCAACGATTGCTCACTTTCTTCCAAGTTTCGCTTCTGTCCCTCAACTGTCTACAACCAAAAGCCACACAAATCTTCAACATTCCACTCCAATACTAAGAAAATGCTACCATGCTATAGAGTGTGGCATGTTCTGCTACCAAATTATTAACCCGAATCATTGGCCATGTTTAAATTCAGAACCAAATGGACTGACAACATAACATGCCGGATACCTTAAGCAAGACCATATTATACATAAAACTATCACACTAAACAATGTCATACCCCATTGATTATTCTGCAACCAAACAATCAAAACAACTCAATTACCATAGCCTTGGTGCCGATCGATCCAGATATGGAGTTGAGCAGCTGCTGGCACTTCTCAAAATGGTTCTTCAGATCGCTAACCTATCAGAACCCATAACACAATTCATAAATTCAGCCCTAAATTCATCACAAAACTTCAAAATAACAACTTTAACAAAAAAAATATATTCATATAAAAACCCCAATTACAAAATAATACCAATGCATCAGACTGCTGATCCCTGGTTCCATTCTCGATCGTGTCAGCTAATTTCTCCACCAACTGCATTATACCAAACCAAACCCAACAAAACTAAGCAAAAATTCACAACCAATACGCATTTATGATTGTACATACATACATATATATAAATGTTAGGGTTTTTGAACTTGGGTACATGGAAGAGATGGAAATGTGAGGCGAGCGACTGGTGATGCTGCTGCTGCTGCTGTTGTTGCTGCTGCTGCTGTTGCTGCTGCTGCTGTTGTTGTTGAAGAAGAAGACGCTGCTGCTGATGTTGAAACTGCTGTTGTTGCTGCTGCTGCTGATGATGGATGTACATATGGTCCTGGCTCGACGGCGTAGAGGGGTTACTGTGAGTCGGCACGCTTGGAATCATATTCCAGCTTCCTCCTCCTCCGCCGCCACCGGAGTACGAATGCTCCATTCTCTCTCCGCCGTACAGATTCTCCGGAAATGGAAAAAGGTTTGATCTTTGATTTGTGCACCAGCAGACTGCAGAGACTGAATTGAACAAGAAGGAACCTGGTACGGTTCGACATGTCGTACGATTATATGATTAATTGGGCTGATAAAGATTGGGCCTTTAGCCCATATGCAGCCCGGTGCAGAAACTACGTCGTTTGTAGGAGAGAGGACTGAGGCCATTGCCTTTGTGAAGAGTTGGGAGTAGTATAAAAGGCGGGGCAGCGTTTGGATTTCTCTCTTCCCCAAATTTTGCTTGCAGACAATAAAAAAGTTTTCAACTTGCGCAGGAATCGAGCTTGTTTTCTTTGGGAGGTTCGTTTTCTACCTCCATCATGTATGTATGTATGCATGTATGTATGGATGAATGCATGTATGCGATGTTGGTATTGGGAATTTTGTGATTTTGGGTGATGAAATTTTATGATGATATGTGAAATTACCATCTGGGTATTTGTGATTTGATTGCTTTATGCAAAAGACACCTCCTTTTTGAGGTTAGGAATCTGATTGAAAGATGGGAAATTGTTGCAAGGAGAAATGTTGTTGACCCATTTGATTTCTCTGTGATTTTTTATTATTTTTTTATGTGATATTTTGCATTGAGCTACATGTTATGCTGCAACATTATGCCAAGTAAAATTGCAGTCTGCAACAAACACTATGCCTGCGAAAGTTGTATGTTGATGGACTCTTTACCATTTTGTTTCAAGTAGTTTGAAGGCTTTTTTGTTGCTGAAAATGCCTCGTCCAAGAGACCCGAAATCTCTTAAATTTCGTAACATGAGAATATTTTCTAGGAGTAGGACGTCCATGAAATGAAATTCTGCAGAAGGTTAGCATTTATAGAGATTTCCATTTGGGAGATGCGTTCGGTAATCGTGCATTCATGTATCAATTCCTGGTGTGGAACGCATAATTTTCAAGTTGAGGTTTTCTTTGCCCAACAAGAAAGAGTCTAATACCGATGGAAATTTGCAGGTAACGGGATAAGATATGGCAGTAAAACCAACGGTTGCCCTGAGAGCTATGTTAGTGGGAGGGATAGCTGCATTTGCCAAAGTAGCTGGTGCAGGTCAAGGCTGCCGGTGGTGCCAAGGTGGGTGCAGCGGCAGCTGCCATGACAGCAGCAGCAACTGCAGCTGTAGGAACAAGACAAGATGACGCGAAGAAGTAAACGGAATGAGTTTTTTCTTTAGATGTAATCTGTAATTTCTGTAGCATTAGTGTTGGCTGTCCCAGTGCGTCCCGGGAACAGATTTGCTACATTTGATATGGAATTTTTGAATGTAAGGACAATGTTGAAACACTTGAAATAAACGAGATGACTTCTTAATTAATCTCTAGTTACTCCACATACAATCTGTACAACACAGGTTTCTTTGATTTTCTTGTTTTTCCTATCGAACATGAAACCTTGTACACTGCTACTCTGTTAATTATAATCGACAAACACGATAGTAAAATATTCCGGAGGACCAGCATTTCTAAATGGAGATATACAGTCCGGTTCTCCATGTTTTCATACACGAACATCTCATGTTAACAGTGGCACTAAAGCTGATGTACATTCGATTTCCCTGGACCACAAGTGAAGTCTGGCTGATCAACAAAGCGTACCACAAGCTCCGGGTTTGGGGACTCTAACTCAAATATGACCTGTGCAATCGTAAAACAGAAACAAGTGGATGTTCAAGCCGAAGTAAGCACTGAAAAAAATAGGAGAAACGATATGTTTTTTTGTTGCAGCCACTGGAAACAGAAGAAGATAACTCAGCTCAAAATAAGTGGCAGAAAAATAACTTTTGGATCTCATACCACAACATTATTCCCACGCCGAAGGACAGGAGCAGGAACATAGAGGTTACACTGCGGTCCCCTTAACTGCAAAATGCACCATATTTCAAAATCTTAAGAGTAAAAGAATTAATGTTCTGTAACCAACATACACAGGAAAATTTGTACGACAAGGGAAATGGAAGCATTGTTTTACCGGCCAAAATCTTCCGATGTTGAAATTGTTAATAGTCACTATCCCTTTACCCCAGCCACTCAATGATATGAATGTATCTTTGATTTCGTCTTCTTTGCTGATAGAAATATATCCAGCATAGAATGCTGGCACGTTCGAATCATTCCCTGAAAAGGAAAGCAAATGTTTTTAATCATCGTTTCTCTTGATTACAATTACCTAGCTTATGTCGTGGTTTTGCAACATGGTACGGGAAAGAACATGGAGAATGTATTTGGGACCGTACCAGACTTTTTCGGTTTTAATCTTTTGCGCGCTGACATAGTAATGACTCCAGAATGTGAAGCCTGAATTATGGGATTGATTTTAGGAACCTCATTCAGATTTCCTATAGGTATCAAATGCATTTTCCATCTTCGGAGAATTCTCCCATCAAGATAAACAGGAGACAGAATACCCTGAAAAAAAGAGTACGAAATACCAGTCAAATATCGTCAATTACTCTAGGAAGCACCTTGCTTTTCAGATGTCAAGAGATAAACTGACAGAACTGTAATTCTAGACTTCAGTTAGATGCCAAATGGTACAATTGAGTACCGACTTTACCTTCCTGTCAAAGATATATGGTCCATAATTTAGACGGCCCATGTTTTCAACCTATAAGAACAGAAGAACGGAATATATCAAATTAGGGGGAAAAATGTGCTGAGGCATATTTGACATTAAGAAATGAAAGTACGAATGAACAGAAAAACAAATAGAGACGACATTCAAGTACCAACACAAATAAGCTGATGTTAGAGCGGCATTTCGTATTAGGAAGGGTTAGAGGTTGATTTGACCATCTTTCAAAAGTGCCAACATATTTTGGTCTTCCATGACCATCTTCAGAAGAGCACATTACAAAAACTTGGGCTCTGTCATGCACCTGCAAGTTCAAACCCAAACAAATTAGTAAAACATTGTTGGCTATTTTATACACACTCAACATATAGTAGATAGATGTGTGGCTTGGACTCTGAATAATTTGAACAGGTAATTAACTTTATATAGTAAGGGAAAGCTGCACCTTTGGTATGGATACAACTCCGCCACCATTGTCTTTTGCAGCATACTCAGTCACGTATAACATAAATCCAAACATCTGAAAATAAGAAGCATTCATCTCAGCGTAATACCACATGATCACCATGTGCAATTGCAAACAAGTATAAAGCTACAAAGACATAATTTTACACACCTGTCCCGCTGACTCCATAGATATTGGGCTCTCGGATTCAACCATATCAAAGTAATGGATCATATCAAATAAAGTCCCTGTTTTAGTTACGTGAATGGATCCATATGCTTTCTTCTCATTATCGGCTGGAACTGCAGGGATAGATCCTAGACTGTGTTGCTCTACGACCCTCCTAATTGCTGAAAGCAGTACAACATTTATGATAAGCAATCTTGTTGCAAATTTTTAGTATCACATAGCAAGAGGATTTCACTCTTGTATCAATGAATTTACAGCTTGCAGCGATACCTTTGAATTTTGCATTGTTTACATCCCCAGATTCCCTGATCGGTGCATCCTGGGAAAATAAGGTGTTTCAGTTGTGAGTTTATAGTTTGTAGCTCAAATTAATATCAAGTTACAACGAAGAAGAAAAATCTTCCTCACATAATCATAGGAAGTGAGGTCGGGCTTGTAATCAGACTCGTCTGAACCGGTATTTGCTCCATTATAAAACCCAAAGTTTGTTCCCCCATGTGCCATCTGAAATTTAAAATTTTAAAGTTAACGAGCTTGCCATAAAGATTTACTTGAAAGAAGAGGAAAATTATGACTTTTAGAACATACATAAAGCACTGCAGAACCATTTCTTTCCAAAATCTTTTTCAAGGCAGCTGCTGTAAAAGCAGCATCAGTCTGCGCATTCTTCTCTCCCCAATGTGTAAGCCAGCCTGTGTAAAACTCTCTGATGCAAACATTATGAACATTTTGACTGACACCAACGAAATTATTTGACCAACAAGAAACTTACGAAGAAAGTGGTGGTGATTTCCCAGGGGCATTGAACTCCCTTTGCAACTCAAATATAGGCCAAGGATCATCACCAGTAGTGAAATCAACAGCTGCAAAAATAAAGGTCAGGTTATAAGCAGAACACACACGATAATGATAAACTAATGATCAAGCTATATGCACCAAGGTGTTTAATGTGTAATAGTTTACGTTGAAGTTGAATTTACCTGAAAAGACAGCATCTCCACGAATTGTTCCTTTCTCTAGTGTTTCCCTTGAACCTCCATCTGTGGTATACCTAAAAACCATTCCATTTTCTCTAAGTCGTGTAATTATAGCACCTTTCTTTCATATATTTTAGTTGGAAATCGGAATCCAAATAGCTGGATAACGGTTAAAACTTAAAACTAGGTCATATTTATAGGCAAAATTAGCAAACACCATGAATGAATCATGACTGCTCTGTGGCATACACATCAAAATAACAATAAAACACATCTCCAAAGAACAATGAACATAAGGCTGAATGACTTACAAAATTGCATCTTCCCCAAGGTGCTTTCTAGCCACTGACACCAGGTGATGAAGATAAGCTTTGTCGTTCCCATATGATCCAAATTCGTTTTCAATCTGTCAGAAAAATCCTATTTTACTGTAACTTTCCAAGATTACCATCTCAAAGTATCAAAGATTTTGAATCTAATTTGACAACTTTGAACTATAACTAAGACACCTCTAAGATGATATAAAGATCAAAGTAATGCTATCTGTTAAGCATCATGGAGAAAGGCCAAGCCGAAAATTAAAGATCCACATACCTGAACCATTATAACAGGACCTCCACTTCCATAAAGAAGGGGAGCTACCTTTGGAAGCAGGATTCCCCACCATGTATCAACCTTAAAGTTCACATTGAGTCCCGTATCAAAATAATGAAGAATTATCAGAGACATTTGCACCAAGAGAAATGATCAGAGATATGGTGCACAAAGATTCTTTGATGAGTAATAAGTTTACTGAAATGTGCCACAGGGTTACAACGCCGGAATAAAAACAAAGAAACAAATCGGAAGCTAAGAATAAAACCATAAGAGGATAGAATCTAGTAAAAAGTAGCAATTACCATTTCTTTTTATTTCATTATTTGTTTATTTTGGTAAGTACTTGAATATCAAACTGGAATCACCAGAATTCAGAAGACAGTACCTTTTAATGAAAACTTACATTCACTAGACTAGACCAATTTTGGACGAATTTAAAATGTACAAAAAAGATAATCCAAAAGGAAAACATACCAACTGAAGGAAAATGGGATCTGATGATCGTAGTCTGGGAGCTGGATTGATGGCAAGTAACCAAGGAGGGAAACCTCCCAAATCCCACTCTGCAATATAAGCACAAAATTTATTATCAACAGTTTGGTTATATCATCACTAACACCAAAATTAATGGCAACTAAATGATTAACAAATGCAAAAACAACAGGGACTGAAATATCCGAATAATTTTCAGACATTCAAGCCTGGCAGTAGAACAGTTAGAGCTATGAATTAAAAGACCAATTAAAGGATTCCGTTTAGGTTCAATACGAGAAACACTCCAGTAACAAGATGCATAGTAGGGTAACACAGGGGCAGATGGCATGTATATATTTAACCTAAAGAAACTCACCAATTTCAAAATCCCCTTAACAACAGACAGATATCCTAGATCTGACACAGTCAGTCACTACTGACCTGCACATATATATGGTCCAGGTCGAAGCATTACAAGCATACCCAGCTTCTGGGAGAGTTTGAGAAATGCAACCAAATCTGCAATACCGTCAAAATCCAAAATACCAGCTCTTGGTTCATGTAGGTTCCAGGGAACATAAGTTTGAATCGTATTTAATCCCAATGCCTTTGCTCTCAACAACCTATCTTCCCAGTACTGCATCAATAAAATATAATGTCCCAGATCACTACACCAATGGAAGAAAGCCTTCACTAAACATATGCAGGAAAGCCACCAGGGACATAATTACTAGGATTCATTGGCAAGCAGATATTTCTTTGCAGTAAAAGATCAAATAACATATGCAGGAAAGCCACCAGGGACATAATTAAGATTAATACCTCAGGAAGAACCCGGAAATAGTGCAAGTCACCCCCAATGATCTGGAAAGGCTGACCATCCTTCCAGAACTTGTCCTCTGAAATTTCAAACTTTTTGGCATGATCCTGATTCTGAAAAAGAATCAACCAAAGTCCTCAGTCCTCAGTCCTCAATCACTAGATGATCAACTGTCACCCGGATATTTTTTATTTTTTTATTTTTTTGCTAAACATACAACCAGGAAATTCTTACTATCATCCCTCTATTGGGTAGCTGAAACACAGTTCAAAAAGTAAAATCTCAATCTCAAAAGTCGTGTTTATAGTTTCAAAACTTCAAGTGGAAAAAATTAAACCCAATTGGGCAAACATGTGCTTGGATTGTCAATCGGTTCAAACTTCAAATGCACTTTCCTTTTAACCCAAAAATCAAACAGACCCGGAAATCAAAACCCAGAATCTTTTTCGACTCAATTTTCCAACTTTCAAAAAATACCAGAAAATTTTGAAAAGACTTACCCTTTTGGTGCTGGGATGGTGCTGCAGTTGTTGGTGGGGAGAGTGGGAAGAGAGAGGAGGTAGAAGAGCAAAGACAGGGACAAAGATGCCAAAGGCTATTAGAGAGAGAAAGATGAGGAAAAACCAGGTGAGTGTCGTGCTTCTCCTCCTCACCATTGTTGACAATTTGGAGCTTGACGCTGAGGTATGATTCTTCTTCTTGTACTTCATTACCTATTGGGGACAACTGGGTCTTACTTCTCACATGTTTCACTTAACTGTCAAGTGTGTCAACAGTCAACTTACCTTAACCGCTAATGCTCCGTATCAGTAATTCCCGATGGAATGAGTATCCTCTCCGGATACTCAAGATCCTGAAAATTCTTAAATTATGTCTGTTCATCGTATATTATGTTGTCAAAAATTATTTTAAATTAAATATAAATAACAACTAACAAAAACTGGTCACACGATATACAATAAACAATTTGAGGATCCTAGAAATTGTGTTCGTTTATCGTACATCGTGCGATCAGAAATTATTTTAAATTAAATATAAATAGCAACTAACAAAAATTAGTCGCACAATATACGATAAACAGACATAATTTGAAGATCCGGAGAGAATCCTCCTGGTTCCCTATGAATTTTTTTATTGGACAAAAGAAAAGCCTTGTTCTTTTTTATTGTGAATCTTTTATGTTTTTGTGAAATGTCGTATACTTGACATTTCAACTAATCTTTTTGTCCTTTGGAATTTTGTTGCAAATGATATTTTATATCATGAAATATGCTATTTATATGGGTTCGATTTGTGTTTCAAGTTGATCCATCCTTCACCTTAGCCCTAAAATGACCACTATAAGGTCATAAGGCAAAGGTTAGAGCATTTTATTCCGTCTTATTAGCTCAAAATCATCACACCAATCTTTATCTTTATGTTCGGTTTATCACAATAGAAGAAGAAACATGTGGAGAAACTCATGAAGGAAACTCCACGTAATCAATTCACCGCCCTCTGTTTTAGGTGTGTACACGAAAGCTTAATTTGTGTGTTCTTATTCGTGGGATTGCTGAAAACACTTGTAATCTTAAGACAACAATCCAAATTCAAAGAATTCTGCTAAATATAATCCTATCTTATCTTGAGTCATATTTATAGGCATGAATTTCCAACGTTGGAGGATAATGACATTTCAAGCTTTCCATTTTATATGTCTCTACATTTGGATGAAGGTGTTCAATCCTATATCCTTAAAACGCTCCTAAGTTGTGGGTTTGATGATGATAATGTTTGCGATGTACTAATGGTGGACAATAGCAACTTTTCACTTTTTGTCTTCCAATAGCAACAAATTTTAACTACAGACTAATGTAATTCATATATAAGTGGGAGGTCGAAATTTTCACTTTCGTGAATGATAAATTAGACATCAATTTATTATGTTGACTCATTAGGTGACTTACCCAAATTCTTCAGCTTCTGATGGCTAGTTTAGGATTGCTCCAAATTCTTCACCTTCTGATGGCTAGTTTAGGATTGCTGTGCTTTTTCTAAACTGCTCATATTGTGATGCTGAGAATAAACAGTTGTAAAAAGGAGTAGGTAAGTGTTTTGTAAACTATAATGCTAAAAGTGCTTTTAGTAAAATATTAAAGACGGCGTAAGGATTGTCAACAAGAAAGTTTTGATTGTCAATAAGAAAGTTTTATTAATTAGGACTGTCCACCTGCCTCCTATAAAAATAAAAAATAAAAAATGAACACTTTTTTTATAAGCATGGGTAGAGCTGCTTCTGCTTTCTGCTGCCTTACATCTATGATTTTGAAATGGATACATTTTTTTTTTCATTAACCAAACATAAGTTTAGCCCTAACTTTCTTAAAAATTTGCTTTTAAAAAAATTTAAGCAACCCTAGACTAGTCCTAAGTCTTGTCTCATTGAGACATATAGTTAGGGATGGCAATGGGGTTGAGGATGCCACCTCCATTGTCACGCCCCGATCCCTAGATATGTCTAGGATCGACACGTGATGTCACCAAGTACCTATACGTATCTCTTGTCTCGTCTCTGAGACATGACCAAAACATAATCAATTCCACCAAATAGTAACTTTTCTTTTATTTCATGGTTGCATCTAACCTTTGTATTAGACTGCCTACGTGGGATCAAGTCATTTGTAGTTCATCCTTCATTTAAGCTCTAAAATTCTCAAGGCAATAACGGCAAGGAGTTTCAGAATCACACAAGGGAGCCAATTGAGCAGTCTCGCTAGAATTTAGTCTACATAACAAAATCATATGTGAAAATAGATTGTCATTCACCTATATCACAATATTTTCCTATACAATCTACAATCAACAATTAATTGATGCAATCAAGCAAAGAGGCACAATATTAACTTTTAACTACGTTAATCAATCCAACAAAATCACATATCATTTCATGAAATTTAGTAAAGGAATTCTCCATAATTCCCTACCTAGATTCCAAGCAATAACATGTAACTGTTTGACTCGGGTTTTTTGTAAGATCCCACATTGCCTAGGGGAGTGATCGTTATATGTATATTCTCATCCCTACCTAGCACTAAAGCCTTTTGGGAGCTCACTGGCTTCGGTTTCCATGGGAGCTCCGAAGTTAAGTGAGTAGTGCGCGAGAGCACTCCCATAATGGGTGACCTATTGGGAAGTTCTCGTGTAAGTTCCTAGAAACAAAACTATGAGGGCGTGGTCGGGGTCCAAAGCGGACAATATCGTGCTACGGTGGTGGAGCGGGCCCAAGATGTGGTGGACCCCGAGCCGGGATGTGACATTTTTAAACAAATCTTCAAACCCGCCCCATACCCGTTTGTTGTCCTCCATAATCGCTTCATTACGGTCGAGTATCCATGGATACCCAAACTTGTGGGGATTTTGGTCATCCCCACTTATAATTGACTCATCTACCACAATACTACGATTTAGTGGTATTCTTTATAATTAAGAGACCTTATGTCCTACTTTGGTGCATAAAGGCTCGATACTAAATTATTATGGCCTACACATTTAGTGGTTTAGCCTAAATTCCGCCATAGTTGACCCATCTATTTTAACCCAAATGAGTTGGCCAGTCAAGTTGGGCCAAGTCTAAAAGCATGGGCCGAAAAGAACTAAAGATTATGGACAGCCTGTTTCTTATGACTTGTAAATGATCACCTCTTTGCACAGGTTTTGGCTTGGGATCAGTCGGCATTTGTTCTTCCAATTTGGAGCTCAGTTCACATCAAATATAAACCCTCGCATGTTGCTTCAGGCTTTATGCTGGAGCTAGAAAAACTGGAGAAACTATATGAGTAATGTTAGATATACTGCATAATTATATTATATTAGTGTGTCATCTGTTGTGAGAGTGATGTATACAATCAACATTCAATGAGATAAATTCATTAAGTGACGTTACATGTATACATCACTTGCCGTATCGGATGGTACACAAATGTGGTACGGAAATGTGAGTCTCCTAGTATTTTCTAGAAATTATTTAGCTTCTAGTTAAAGGCCACTCCTTCTGGCTTCTGCCCCTCCAAGGGAAGCAAGACAACAGCCCAACCCCAACCAAAGGCATCGAATTCTACCAATGCTTGGGCTTGAATAGGCTGTGGCCCATCTTTTGTCCATCCATTTTTCTGCACCAACTGTAAACATCATATACTCAATTATTCGTTTGAATATATATTTCATTCGAGGACGTCCACAAGAAATCAAAATTCAGTACTTATGCTATTACTAAATTGCGTGGTCAGTTGTTTTCCAAATTTAGACCTACTCTTCACGTGACCTTTCTGAAGGAGGATCCCCCTCGCGATTTTGTGTTGTAATTTAGTCCGTTCTTATTTATTTATTTAATGACAATAGCATTAGTCTGCAGATAGTGATGATATGGAAAATATAGCAATCTAACAAAAACTTCGAATTAAAAAACCCTAGCCACTAGAGAGAAAAAAGCCAAAGAAAAAACTTACCGCCGCGGACTCTAGCTTTTGGTTTTGGGATCGGTAGTGATCCTTCTTGATCACTTCCTTCTCTTTCTTTTCCTCTTTTTAGTAGTGCTCACTCTCTCGTTTTGTCGATGAGAGCTTTTGTAATGGTTATGCCTTATTGCTCAAGTCAAGATCTTGATTTTGTGGTTCATGCGCTTAGCAAATGATTATGCGGAGGAAACTTGACATTTGTTGGAGGTCACTCATAGCAAGGGGGTTTTGTCAACGATTGCAAGATCATCAAAGGATGGTGCGGTCTTTTACTCTTGGGGTCATTGCAGTGGTTTGAGGGATTCACAATCATGGTTTTTTGTCATTGTAAAGTCTTCACTTAATGGTATGGTGTTTACCTTGTGTGTCTTGACAGTTTTAGGTCTAGCTCATAGGGTTTAGGCATTGTGAGCTTATCTTTCTCGTTGGTGGTGTGGGTCTCCCATGGTTGAGGAATCGTACCTCTGAAGAGTTTATTTTGTATTGTGACATTTTTTTTTTGGTTGTGGTTTCGTTGTCTGTTTGCCTGGCAAATGACTATGAAGGAATCTTCATAATGTCTCATAACAGGGTTTATTTGCCAAAGCGCATTGTCTTTTGCAAGTTTATTAGAAAGTGATGCAATTAAGGTATTTGCCTCATGGTTGTTATGTCACATCCCGACCCAGGATATGGTGGGGGCCTGGGCCAGCCCAACCTGGAATGTCCACTAAGATCCCGAATTGAGCTGTGCTAGCCGACACTTAGAAGGTGACAAAGCCAGCATAGCTCGATTCGGGGTCCTAATGGACATTCTGAGTCGGGGTGTGTCGGTTTGGTATCAGAGCCAATCCCTGACCGGATGTGTGCCGACGAGGATGTCGGGCCCCTAAAGGGGGAGGGGGGATGTGTCATGTTATTTTCCATTTGGTTAGATGTATGTGGGCTAAGTTTTATTTATCTTTCTGTTGCGTTTGTAATTATGAAATTTTATTCCTAATCAATGATGTTCCTCGTTTTATTTGATTATGAAATTTTTATTACCTTAAAAAATTAATGATATGAGAAAATGTCTCCTTCGACTTCAGTATTATCACAGCTCAAAATACATAAACATACGTAGCCAATTGATTATATCATTACAACTCTAGGAAGAAAATGAAAAGAAATATGTGAGAAATTACCAGCTATGGTGACGTAGGTAATATGGCGAGATGAATTAATGATCGTTGAAAGACG